TTATTAAACGGAATCTTAGTAAAATATAGTTTAAAAATAATATACAATTTCCATAATAGAAAAAGGGCATTATTGAAGAACAGGCCCCCACTGGAAGTTGAGGGCTTTCTTGCTTTTCTTTTTTTTCCTATAAGATATCTTTAAACCCTTAGAAATGGTGATTCTAAGGGGTTGTTATAAGCATGCAAAAGAAAACTAAGAAATATAGTGGAGTGATGGGTTACTGAGGAGGATCTCAATCTTCAATGGTGCCTATAAACATACCGCGCCTCTCCGAAATAATCCCTTCTTTCGAAAAAGGTTTTCTCTTTTGATCTACTCCCAACTGAAGATACTTTTGGCCGCAATACATCAAATCAAAACTATGAGGATGATACGGAAACTCTTGATCAGTTGATTCGAAAATGAGAAAATCGTTCTCCTTGGAAACGGCACTCACAACAACCTGAAAAGCTGAGCAATTAGTTAGGTATAAAAAATAAAGATACTTTGATCGTTGGGAAGAGCCACTTTTATCCTGGCTTTGTTGGATCTAATGTTTTGAGTGGTTGTATTGATACCTTTTCCCTATTCTAAGGTAATCAAATATGCTTAATAGATTGATGACTCTTTCGCAAATTGTGGCATTTCTAGCCTAACCTCAGGTACTTTAACTACCAAACGCTACCCCAAAGCTGCTTAGACTTGAAAATCAAATAAAAACGGCAATATGAAACTTGGTACATGTTGTAAATGCTCTAAAAGCATAGGCATATTTGATTAGGCTAAGATAGGTAGTTAAAAGGCATTGATACACGACGACTCAAAACATTAGATCCAACTAATCCAGGATAAAAGTGGCCTCTCCCAAATACCAAAGTACCAAAATCAATTGCTTAATGACTAAAATCTATTTGAAAACTTAAAATATACCTCAATCTTCAAATCCGGTTCTATCACATTGTACAAAATGAGCAAAATTTTGAGTGGGGGATGGGGTAAGCCAGTATCGCCCTCGTGAAAAATTGCTTAAATGATTTTGTATAATTTCATGACGAAAAAGAGGTAAAATAATGAGATGAAGAAAGGGGCGTTGAGCTAGTATCACTAAAACAAAAAAATGTTTTAAAAAGTTGTAAAAAAGGTTTAGCGCCGAAAATTTCTCCAAATGCACTCTCATAAGAATTTTATTTTAAAAAACTAGACGTTCATTATTTAGCTGAATATCTTTAACTCACTTCTAGTGGTTTAAAAAAGTTCAGTCGAGCAATTATTTTATTTCTCGCGTGCTCTTGAATTAGCCAATCTTACATTTTTACACCTTTCTATTTCTGTCACCCTTTCACTTCTCTCGTGCAAAAACCACACTGTCCCTCCATAAAGGGCCTAGTTAGATGCCTGTCTTGTATTCGAATTCTTTTCTTCCAATAATTATTCCGAAAAACCGTTCTTTTTGTTTACGAGGACTCCCTCCCGCGTCAATCTTGCTCTTTTTAACATTTTATCTACTTAAATTCGTTTTTAATTATTGGATTTTTTAAAAATTTGGTTTTCAGAGAATGTCTGTTCAACCAGTCAACCCAAAGCCGTTCCTCAATGGACTCGCCGGAAAGCCAGTTGTGTGCAGATTGAAGTGGGGAATGGAATATCGAGGCGTCCTCATCTCGGTCGATGGTTACATGAATGTCCAGGTGGGGTTGTCTTCATGTAAAGTTTTTATGGCACTCGGAAAGTTGATCGCCTAGTTTGCATTATTTATCATTTTGCTAACTTGTTGAGTGTGTAACGCTATTATTGATCTCTTTCGTATTTTTATGAATAAAGTTTGATTGGTTGAGTTAATGGGACCGTGGCCATGGGGACCGTGAACATTCACCAGAAAGCCGCAGAGGTGGCGACCACTCACCGAAAAGGCGAAGACAGTTAGTTTTTAAAATTGTCTTTGTTTACAGCTAATTTAGGTCACCATCTCCTAAACGTAAAGCTTCTCTAGAAAGGCGAAGACGGTAATAGAGTTTTGCACCTTTTTTGATGAAAATTATTTAGATCTCTATTCACCAAAGCGTGATGCCAGTCCTGAGCGGCGGAAACGTTAAGTTTAACCTGGGTTGCATTCAGTATTAGGGATTTAGGATTTAGGTAGTTTAAAATCCAGGTAATGCTTCAAATGGTAACGTGGCCACGGAAAAGATTTGGGATAAATCGGGTGAGCAATCTGAACGATTGAATTGGGCGCGTCTGCAGAAAAAGATCCATGGTCTCGTCAATAAAGTCAACGCCAACAATCTTGTCGGAATTGTGTGAGAGCTTCTTCCAGAAAACATTATCCGTGGAAAGTTTGTTTCTAAGCATTTTCTCAAGTGAACAAAATTTTTGGGGTTTGTTGACTGGATCGATGATTCAAACACAAGCCTTTTCTCCAACATTTCCACATGTATACGCTGGTTCGGTTGGAGTGATTAATTCCAAGTTTCCTGTTATTGGTTGATTGACACTTAAGTATGTTTCACAGTTTTAAACTTTAGGAATTATGTATTTAGGCGTTTGATGGTGCAGTTCAAGCGAGCTTCTCGACGAAACTACAAAGCAACAACGGTGACTGTCAATAAATTTCTCGCACATTTGATCAATCAACAAGTGGTATGCGGTTTTGCTTTGAATATGAATTCGATACATATCTAGGCTCACGAGTTGCTTGCTCTTGAGATCATGACTTTGATGCTTAAAACGCCAACGGAAGATTCATTGAAAGTGTGTATTGCTTTTCTGAAAGAATGTGGCGCCAAACTGACAGAGGTTTGCTTTATTTAGAAATGTTTATTGAGAAATGATTTGTTAGTTTGCCCCGTGTGCCTTGGACAATGTTTTATCAAGACTTCGAAACATTCTTGCTGAAGCACAACTGGATTCACTTATTCGTTATATGATTGAAACTGCAATGGCAATTCGGAGAGATAAATTTGCGGTCAGTTTTTAGTTCTATTGCCTGGCAAGGCTGATTCTTTAAGGAGTACCCAGCTTTAATTGATGGACTCGATCTTATTTCGGAAGAGGACCAAATTACACATACCCTTTCCCTTGAAGATGCTACCGATCCTGAAAATATGCTTAGTGGGTGAACTAAAAAAATTTAATTTTCGATCAACTTGGATTTCAAACAAACTTTACAGACATTTTCAAATTGGATCCCGATTTTGAGAAAAATGAAGCTGCCTTCAACCAGATCTGTGAGCAAATGGAAATCATTGACAACACTGAGCAAAATCTCGTCGATTTCCGTCGCGAAGTTTGCTTGATTCGAATTCAATGATGGCTCGACTATCAAGAGGCCGCTCACAAACTTCTCAAAGTGGGTGTCAAGCCAGAATTGGAGGTTGGGCTTATTGATAGAATATAAAACATTTTAGGCTCTTTCTAATTACTAGGTACTTTAACCGTGGAACCCGCTTTTCTTAAATTTTAACAAAAGCGGGTTCCACGGTTACCTAGTAATAGAAAAGAGCCACATTTTTTTCATTTTAGTCGGAACTCATGCACATACTCGTTGAAGTTAGTTTCAAAAGTTTATGAATATTTTCTTATTTTAGGCTGCTTTTGAGACGATAGCTCGTGAGACTTATCAAACTATCCATCGCTTTGATATTACGATACTGAAGAATATGACTCGTTTAATCAGTCATTTGCTTTTCACAGGTGCTATTACTTGGGATGTAAGTCTTTATGTGAATATTTACTTTTTCGTATCCATATTTAAAGTGTTCAAATTTAGGTTTTGAGCGAAATCCATTTGAACTAAAATGAGACAACTTCTTCGGGCCGGATTTACATCAAAACCATTTTCTTTGAATTCGCTCAAATGATGGGACTCCCAAAGCTATATGAAAGAATCTGCGATCCGTAAGTTTAGAGATTTTCTAGAATTCAATAATCTTTAGTACATTGCAACATGCGTTTGAAAGACTTTTTCCTCGGGACAACCCAGCCAATACTCGCTTCGCCATCAATTTCTTCACATTAATCGGTCTTGGTGGACTGACGCAAGAAAGATTTGAGAAGGCTAATAAGTGTATAAATTTTAGGGTGGAACTTCGGGAGTTTTTGGGAAAAGGCGGAAAGAGGAAGAAATCTGACTCCGAATCAAGCTCTGAATTCTCTTCATCATCATCGGACGATGAGAGCGACAGCGACTCTGATACTACTTCTTCAAGCTCGTCAGATTCGTATTCAAGTGATGATTAGTAATTTTTTATACTTTTTATGCAGTGCCGAAGCAAAGCGAAGCGTGAAAACAGTCATCATCAGCTTCTTTGAGTAGGTGTCCAGCCTAGATTTATCAGAACGATATAAGGGAAGCACAGTTTTGTTAAGAATTTCTCAAGAATGCTTCATGATTCCTCAAGAATGAAAGGCCAACGATTTTGTGAAATTTCCATGGAAATGGCGAAGTTCTTGGAGCAGAGGAAAGCCACCGATCTCAACAAAAATGTTTGTTTCTCCGAAAATGGGACAGAATCTGTATCGAAACTTCTGGGGAATCGATCGAAATCATTTGATAATCTCATTCGAGGAGCACAACAAAGATCTTGTTCATCTTGCTTTAGGCAAGATGTAAATGGGCCAAAAAGGCAAGGTCTCAATCATCCTATGCAAAACTCATCAATCATTCTCAGCAATGAGCTTCCCACTCCTCAAACTTAGTCTGAATATTGGTGAATTATTGATGAAATCCTTGCGTTCTCATTCTATTTCTTGCCTCAAATCATTGTTATTTTGTAGCAGTTTTTGTTTTAATAAGAACTCCCTATTTTGCTTGGCAACAAATTTCTTGTTTGATTTTATCTTTTCTCATCAACTCTGCTTGTTTAGTCGCTTTTTCCTTTAATTTCCACTTGTTCTTCGAGAAAATTCAGTCATTTTGTAGGCAGCCAATCGTCTAGCAACCGAAATGGACAATCTCTCGAATCTTCCTCCTCCTCCTCGATGTCTTCAGATCATCTCTTCTTTTTTCCAAATCTCCAGAAATGCCCGAAATGACTGAAGAATTGCCTGAAGAGAGTGTCAAGCGCATAGAAGAACCGGCCATCTCGTTGAAGAAAATCGCCCAACTCGAAGCCGATTTGTGGGTTTTTCGCCAAATCTGCTTTTATCAAAAACAGTCTTTAATTTAATCGAAGAGTTTAGGGAAGGAATGGAAAAGGGCAAAGACATCGAGATGAGTCGATGGACAGCAAAAATCGCTCAAATCAAGGCGGATTTGAAAATCGCGAAGTTAGAGGCTGATTTGGTTGACGAAAGGGAGAGGAATCGAGAATTGGAAAGGAAAATCGCCGAGACGAAAAGGATGAACAAAGATCTCGAAGCACAATTGTACTAATTTTGTAATTTCCTTTTAGACAGGCTCAACATAAAGTCTGATAAAAATCGGATTTTTTTAGAAGCGACCCAAATACGGAAGTGAGAGACGGGAAAGCCAAGATTGGAGAGCTCAACGGGAAAATCGCCGCTTTGCAGAGCAAGAACTCTGGACTCGAAACCCAAATGTGAGTTTATTTGATATCTCTTGTCGACTGAAACTTGAGAAAAGAGCTTTTTCCCAAAACACCCATTCCACTCAATCCAATCAACTCCTCTCTAGAGAATCTGTAAGGGAAAATATGGTTCAAATCGAGGCGAATTTAATGCAAGAAATCGCGAAGTTGGAGGCCGATTTGGTTAACGGAAGGGAGAGAAATCGAGAATTGGAAAGGAAAATTGCCGAGACGAAAGGCAAGAACGATGGTCTCGAAGCACAATTGTAACAAAGTTATAATTTTCTTTTTTATCAACATAAAATATAGATAAAAATCGGACTTTTTTAGAAGGGAGCAAAATACAGAAGTGAAAGAAGGAAAAGCCAACATTGGAGAGCTCGAAGGGAAAATCAACGCGTTGCAGAGCAAAATCTCTGGCTTTGAGACCCAAATGTGAGTTTATTTGATATCTCTTGTGGACTGCGACTTAAGAAAAGAGTTTTTTCATTCCCAAAACACCCTTTCCAATCAATCCAATCAACTCCTCTCTAGAGAATTTGAAAGAGAAAACAAAACGGTCGAAATCGCGAATTTGCAGGCAGATTTGTGAGTTTTTTTTAAGGAAAAGGATTGAGTATTTGTCTAAAAAATCTGGAGTAAGGTTTTTCGAAGAAATTCAGAAATCGAACGATGACTTTCTTGGATCTGGATGGATGGTCGTATTTGGCAAAAAACGCTTGGTACAAGGTTTGGTGGATGTTGTGAACCATGATTATCTTCATCTCAAGGTTATCGATCAAAAAATGACATTTGATGAGGCCGTGGCATATTGTGCAAGTCGGAAGAGCCATTTAGTCTCAATTCACAGTCAAGTAGAGAACGATTTTCTTCGGAGATTCTGTAAGAAATCGAAAGGATTTGATTCTGAAAATTCACGATTTTCGTAGAAATTTATGCTTTATAAACAAAAAAATAATCAATATTTATTTCAGCGAGAGCTATTCGTTCGAAGGAAACGTTCTGGTTCGGACTGAAGGTTGAATTTTTTTCCTTTTTCCTAACGAAAGAAATAAATACACAAAAAGAAATGATTCTTTTGGCCATTGACTCTTTGTGAAAAAATTATTCGTTTGACTGATGGTTTTTTGATAGAAATCATAGTTTGAATTGAAAAACTAGAATAATTTCAATAATAAGAAAGAAAAATCGGATCAAAATATCAAGGTCTAAACATAAAAATTTCTTTATTCAGAGAAATCCGAACAAAGGAAGTGCTTTTGAATGGACGGATGGAAGCGCGGTGGATTTTACGAATTGGGGAGAAGGAGAGCCGGATTCGGGCACTCACGCTGCGGTGAGATTTTGAACGTGAAATCATCAACATTTATTCCAATTTCCAATGCATAATTAATCGCAAAATATTTTGATCAATCTGAGGAAATTTCTTTGTGTAAAATAACGCAAATTGTTTTATCAAAGGATTTCCATCAGAAATGAACACATTTCAGCTTCACGGGCCCGAGGGGAAATGGACAGTCCATCCTCCTACCAATACGTATCGTTTTATCTGCAAAAGGAGCTATAAATTCTGATAAATGCTCTGTGTTGTTTTTCAGTGGACAAAAACCAATAAATCCCATTTTTTTCAATCTTCTGAAAACACACAACTGCACATTATCTTTTTCTTTATTTCTGAATTGTTTGTTCTCATTTAAAAAGGATTCCCAAAAACCCAGAATTCCGCCTGAAGCTACAAGCATTTTGCTCTCTCGTCGCTCCTGAATAGACCATTGGATAAACCTGTTGAACATCAATGGAGATCAGCCTGTGGGAACTGGCAACTCTTCGTCAAGGTAGCTCTTCTCGTCCCTCAACTCGTCGACTGGTCTTTGATTTTTGTTCCTGAGGTTCTCCAAAGTTCGATTTATACTTTTTTTCGTGATAGAAGGTGCTCGTTAGTGATGTCTAACTGAAAGCAACCAAAATGGATTTCATCGAAATTTCCCATTCATTTGCCTCGTGATGTTCTCGGCGACGTTTGCAACGAGTTACGTGTAGCTAAGCGGATTTCTTTGTCCAAATCCAAAATCTTGTTGAGCACGAGTAGCGAGTGAAGAGGTCCGGCGAAAGAGATGCTGTTCGCTTTGAGGTTAACAAAGATCTCTTTTCAATCAAAGGAGTCCCTATTAGTCCAAATTAAATAGAATAACGGCATAGATCGAAAGCTCGGCGTCCCGTGGTTGGATCAAAGTTATCATGGAGATCAGAAAAGACAGAAACCCGTGTGAACTTGATTGAAAACTTTATTATTGTGGGTAGTTATTAAATGAAGAAAACTAATGTTCATTGAAAGACAGTAATAGAGTAGCTCTTTCTCAAATTTAACTTTTAGAAAATGTTTTACTTGGGAGAAACCCACTGTGAGATACAAGAATTTTTTCAAAACAGCACCTGGGAGATAATGTGAAGAAAATGTAGGCAAAAATGCGAACTTCTATCATTTCGCTGTAAATTTGAGCTGTAATAGCGTATACTTTTCAAAAAACGGAATATAAAGCCCGGCAAATATTTCTAGAGTTTGTGTCTAAATTCTGATTGAACCACTCCACCTTTTCCTTTGGAAAGACTATAAGCCATTTCAAATGACTTGTCGACTTTCTAAGCTTTTCTCTACACATAGAAATGAGTGTGAAAAATCGCAGAATACTCATTTCAAAGGAAAACTCAGCAGCAGAAAGGAGAAACCACAAGAAAAAAACTTTGTAAACATTGTCAAAAACCTATAATTGTTTGCCATTGTTCAATTTTGATGTTCCGTTCTCGATGAATTGTTTCTATCCATTTATTTCACTTACCGTATTCGCTCTAATAGTAGTGCACCCTGAGCGTTGCCTAAATTGCTTGAAATCTCGAAAGCCGCTTATCAGAACCTATCGATGTGGGGTCGGAAAATGTAGCTGATGATGAGATCTTGTGGGGGACTAGAGTGTTGAGCTTCTGCAAAAACTTCGAAAACGTAAAATGGTCATCAACGACTCTAAATGTTTTGGGTCTGATCTAGATAGATTCTCTCCCAACCTTCTCATAAACCGAGTTTTGAGAATTATCCCTCAGTGTTTGACGAACTCTGGCTTCCATCCTCGCGGATTGTACCAGGAAGCAGTTTTTGAACCTCCAGAAGAATCTGGCTCCAATTGGTGGCAGAGTGCCACCGGATGGCCAGCGAACCTTCAAGAATAGTGACATCGAGTACAGCCGTCAACTGCCCGAGAATCCTAGATATCGATACGTGAGGTTTGTTTGAATGTTGGAAAGCTTTAGCCTATCTATTCAATCTAGTCGTCTATCGGGTTCCGGACATCGTGGCGATCGCATTCAGGGTTTCGGATTCAAAGCGGATGGTCGTCCTGTTGTGATGCCCGTCAAGTCCGAGCACATCTATCGATATTCGGATTTGGGAACACGGGGACAAGCACCGCTTAAGTGAGTTCTCCAATTCTTTTAACCCCCCCTGGCAAAGCACACTATCGTTCGCTTGCCCACTGGCTGGTTCGGAGACCAGTGAAAGTCTGGAGATCGTAGAATCCATACATACACGTAGGATCCATACGCTAAAGATCATTCTTGATTCTCTCGTTACTGGAGATGAGAAGTGGATCCATTTCGATAATATTGGGTTGGTGAATTGAAAACTGTCGGCTATTGTCATATGACACAGTTTGAGCACTTTCTTCAAAAGAAACCCATTTTGGTGTCAATGAAAAAGTTGTAGAGAATCAAAAATTAGGCTTATAGCCAAATTTCCAAAAAGATACACTTAGTAGTTTCGCTTAAAATAAGAGTTTTGTGAAAAGTTGTAAACTTGGCATTTCTTGAAACCCAGTTTTTGAATCTTCCTGAAAATTTGGCTATAAGCCTAATTTTTGATTCTCTACAACTTTTTCATTGACACCAAAATGGGTTTCTTTTGAAGAAAGTGCTCAAACTGTCACATATGGCAATAGCCGGCAGTTTTCAATTCACCAATATTGATGATTTCACGTTGAAAATCTCACCGCAACGTGGATGTTCGAATCCGGCTCTGGCTCCGGAAACCGTGAATTCGTGAAATCGACCGAACTTCCATCCGTCCAATCAAAAGCATTTCCTTTGATCGGATTTTCCTGAATAAAGAAATTTTTATGTTTCACCGTTGATATTTCGATTTTTTTTCATTTTAAAACTATTCTAGTTTCCCAATTGAAACCATTATTTCTATCAAAGAACTATCAGCCAAACGAATCATTTTTTCACAAAGAGCCTACCGAAAATGGCTGAAAGAATTATTATTTTCTTTTTATTTAGTTCAAAATCTCCGCCTACAGAACCAAAACATAAATCGAATTTTTCACTAAAGTACTATCCTTTCATCAAAATCGAGCTCATTTGATGCTCACCTTGTAAATGTGTGATTTTTCTAAATAAATTCTTTTATTCTTTTCTTTTTCATGATCGCTTTACTGGATTCCCCCAACTCATCAACTCATCCGTATCCATTGTGTAATTGTTTCATTTCTATCCCTGAATAAACATTGCAAGATTTTCTATTTTTTTATTAAGACGATCCATTTGGCGTTCGATAGAGTTTTTAAAATGCTATGATGTAAAGAGCTGCCCAAGGATCGATTTTAAAGAGGTAAACGACGTGTTTTCCGTTGCACCCCTATTGATGTCTAGACCGACAAATGAACAGATCTATCCTCTACTTTCCAATTAAACTGTTAATCTGAACGTTCAAACTCAATTTTCGATTCCTCTTTCCATTCAACGACCAGCGGTGACCCGAGAGCCCTATTTTCGTGCTGCTCGAAAAACCATTTCAAAGAGGGAGACGTTTGTGTGAGGCAATCGGCGCTTTGTCTTCTCTAGAAAGCACTACGAAAGCCTCTATTTATCAGCATAAACTTTTGATGAGTGCATTCGATAAATTTATCAAATACAGTTTTAACAGGAAAACTTAACAACGTTTTTCGAAAATGACTAAATCTTACGCTAAAAACAGACCTGGCAATAAACTTCTCAAAGGAACTCGAAGAAAAGTTCGAGTTTTGGTTGTCCCATTGCAAAATACCACCATCAAATTCTCTTTTTTCGTGTTTATCCAGCAGAAGTTTCGTGACCAACGGGTTTTCATTTTGTAAGTTAATTTTTTTCTCGTTGTTTTGAGGCAAGTTTTGAGCCAGCAACTGTTTTGAGAGTTTGTGGCTTAACACAAAAGATTTATTGCCTTATTCCTCCTTTTCTCATTTCTTTGTCACAGTTTTCTCGGTGAGAGTGCTTATTAACTCGCATTTACTCTGAAAAGCTTTGAAGAATTGTATTTTGCATGTTAAATTCTAATAGCTAACCTTTTTCTTTTGAGAAATTACCAAACTTTTCTTTTGACTTGACACTTTTTAAGGTTTCCTTTATTCTGAACGACGACGATCAAGCGCTAGCGCATCTTTATTACTTAAAGCCATCATCATCTTGTGCTTAATTTTGAAATAAAAGATTTTATAGACTTAGCCTGCTGGCCTATTCGGATCTTTCAAAATAACGAGGTGGCACTTCAATATCAGGGGTCACTTTTGGTCACCATGTTTTAGCCGTGATATAATCATGGTTTTAAAACCTTTTGCACATAAATAGATTTATTTAGATAGATCCGGTTTAACTCAATCCTTTTATGCCACTTTTATTTTAAAAAAGAACAAGAAAAACTTGCTAAGGCACGGGATTAGGCATGCCTAAATAGTGCCCCCTCCTAAATAATATTGAAATGCCACCCCCGTTATTGCGAAAGATCCACCTATTCGATCTAAATGACTGTTCAGAACTGTTTACTCTACAATCCCGCCTTGTAGATCATTATCTTTAGATAGGATGAAGAAGAAACTTCTCATTTCTCTACTTTTTGTCTCAACGTGCTCGATGATGCTACCATTCAAATTTTGCATCTTTAATGAGACATTCAATGACTGGCGGGTTGTTGATATCTCGAATACAGACGACTGGGACTGGCCAAGAGCGACTCGACCGGAACAACTTCGCGAAACACTCATCAAGGGCCACACAAGCCAGTGCTGGGACTTTGTTCCTAATATCTGGGCAACCAGTGCCCTGTTCAACGCTCGTTTACTCAGTGATCATGACGAATGGGTGAGCTTCTCCAGACTTTTCTTTCTTTTCTTTGCTTTCTTTACTTCTTTACTGGAGTTGACAATAAAGAAAATGTTGTAGCCATCAAAAAATATAGACGTCCACTTGAAACTTGAAAGCGATTACAGGTGGCGTTTCGTGTCGAGACATACGATGAGCCATGCCACTCTCCGAGTCAACTCATCTTTAAACTGAAGGAGCCAACGATGCTTCCATTGCTTTGCGGGTCAACACTCAAGTTGGTCGAAGCACCGCCAAAAACAACAACAACCACCACCTCAACAACAACAACAACAACCACCACCTCAACAACAACAACAACAACCACCACCTCAACAACAACAACAACAACAACAACAACTACGATTGCACCCAGTCCAGGTGATTGCAATACATACATAAGGGTATT